TGTAGGGCTATAAACACAGTGTGGATATGAGTACGAGGAAAGAGATGAGGTATAGGTATAAAGTCGCACCAATGGGGGTTTGTTGTTAAAATGATCTATCCAAAGCGATAAGGAGAGAGGCATGGAAACCGATAATTGTAGGGGGAGGGCCATGCCAATGCATGTCCTTTAGAAGGAGTGGGGATGGGATTGCTTGTTTGCCTTACTAATTGTAGCGAGTAAACGTCTTTTTCCCACCCAAGGTTTGCCTTAATTACACTTTTCCACCAACAAAGTTTCAAAATATCACTTTTCCACCTAAAGTTTATATTCTGTTAATACCCAAAATACATTTCACTTTCTCAACTAGTGTTCAGCGAGTTATTAGGAGCTAAGGTAAAAGAGGTTTCGTAGAATGGAGAACGGTGAATTAAATGGTGGTGATCAACTGAATATTCGTCGTCGGAATCAGTAAAAAATTAGTTAAAAACAGGAACCTTAGTTTTACAGTGACCGACAATCAACGAGAAATAAGATGTCGAAAGAAGAGAGATTTTGTATAGAAGAGATCGGAGGTTCAATGGTGGTGACAGAGAGAATTTTCGTCGCCAGAATCTGCTTTAAGTATTAATGGAATATAAACTTTGGATGAGAAAGTGATATTTTGAAACTTTTAGGTGGGAAAGTGTCATTAAAACAAACCTTGGGCGGGAAAAAGTCGTTTACTCTAATTGTAGCTGTCAACCATTTTCCTTCCCCCACTGTGGAGTGGGGTGCACTCTTTCCATCTTCTGTTTTTTATACTGGACCAATATCAGTACCTTTTATTTTCTTTTAATTTTCTTGGTTCGAAAACTATTAACTCATAACAATTTAACATCATGGTTAACCGTTTTGCAGCTATGTGGTATTTCATGCCTCACTGTCATTCTCTTGGTTTTTAAATGCGAATTGACAGGAAATTTTTGGAGGGTCCATATGGTTCACTTGTTATTTCAAATAAAGTTTTGGAATGTTGTCGCTTAGCTAGTTTTTATTGAAACAGAACAAATAATTCTTCAGAATATCTTTTGGGAGACTGATAATTCTAGTTAAAAGTAATGATAAATGGAGACAAGTTGTTGGTGCCATAAATATATACTGAAGATATGATGGAAGCATTTCATAAGTCTTACAATAAAGGAGATGAAGCTGCAGTGAATCTGACTAAACGACAACTGCACAATATAGTGAATGTTAAAGGTGGGCGGACCCTTGTGATGAACAACCTCCTCAACTCTAATGTATAAACTCTCTTACAAAGTGTGGATGGGATTCTAGCTAACAAGCTAGTGCACTGCAAAAGGTGGGTGGGGTCATAATGACCTAGTTCATGATATGATTTCGCAAGATTAGTGGAGGGCTGCCGTTTCTTCTTTTCCCCAGTATTAGCCAGAAATTTTCAATAAGGAGATCATTTCATACCTTATCTGTCAAATGAGTGATGTGAATACTGTAATTGATTCTAAGATCTTTTTTTTTTCCTCAGAGATTTTGTTGCCACCATTCTGTTTGTGCTTGAAGCTGTACGGTGCTTTGTTTCCAAGTTTTTCATTCTCTACAGATTACAATTTCTACTTTTACTTCTGGGAAATTATTTTTGTATAGAGTATGAGACTAATAAGTTCTTCTATAAAAGTAATATTACTTCTTTGCACAACTTTTTTCTAGAATTAGGTACCAGCGCCCGCAGATTGAATGATTGGGATCTTCAGATGTTTAATCAGGAGAAAATATGCAGCATAAAACCAGGGGAGTAATTATTTTATCATAATCTGCTAGCATGGATCAAGATGTTGTCTCTAATAGAAAACCTCAGATGCAACGTTGGCTAGAAAATCGAAATTCCGTAATAATGGTGGACTAGATACTGTAATCATGTAAGTCGATTATAAATTGGGATTGGACGTTTAAGCTTTTACATGGTTATTCTTCTTAAAGTTCTGTATCTTTGTTCACATTCACTTTGTAATCGCAATAACTACATATTGGCCATATTCGTCTGAAATTGTTTCTAAAATTTTTTCTTTCTACTTAATCAGGCTAGTCATATACACAGTCCTGAGAAAAATGATTACATCGGCCCTCTTCTTGTTAACTGGTAATGTCCTCAATGTTAAGCTAAAGTCCATTGGAATTGCCGTCCATGACATATTATTTGTTCATGATAAAAAACAAAAATAAATGTACATGCTCACAAGGGAAGTAGACAGCGATCAAAATTTGCTGTTACCATAGTGATGACATAGACTTGGAAGGGGGCCATCATGTTTTTAACTATTCACACTCATTTCCTTTGGTTAAGCAATTTATGCTTTCTGGATGAAGGTAAATTCTTTTAAGTGAACTGTTGCCATTTATGGGGTTGGATAACTGCTAAACTTAAATTTTGACCATTTAAATTGTAACTTTGTTCACTGTAGGAATGAATGGGGCAGCATCAGCCAGCTATGGCCTATGAGATCACACATCTGTATAACAATGATGTGATTTAAGAGAATATTAATGTTAACACCAAGTTAGGTGAACTATGATTGAACCTGTATAATGCTAGTTCCTTTGAGGACCAGAGCTACTGCAACTACAGACAAATTGATATGGTGACATCAATTGCTAGTGAAAGCTACTTAAAATATGCCTTATGCTCTCCGAATTGAAGATTTTTTTTTCCAGGCCTGTGTTCCACTGATGGTTAAAGTTCTTATGTTATTTTACTACTAAGTTTCTTGGAAATTCTGAAACAGCCAACTCAAGGTTAAATATGCACTCCGACTGGTAGTCATTCCTTCCATTTTGTCGACGTGTACTCATCAGATATTTCGTTGAAGTATGCTGCTCTTCTTTGACGTCTATCATGGTAATCCTCTTTATTACGATTGCAAATTAGTGAGCCAGCCCTTTTTATTAGTAGTAATATTACACTTATAAATTTTTCTTATTAACTTTCTCTTATAAACGTTATGTGTCAGTTTATAATTAATTAGTTTATAATAAGCTTCACCTAATTAAATATAAATTGATCAATTATGAATTGTTACGTCAATATTTGTGAAAGAAAGTTGTGAGATATGTTTGTCAATCTATCTTGATTCTTTTAATGGGGAAGGTAATCCATATTTGTGAGAGAAAGTTGTGAGATATATTTGCCAATCTATCTTGATTATTTTAATGGGGAAGGTAATTCAGTAACTGCAGAGTTGTTACTGGGTTTTCCATTGACCTGTTGGAGGACTCGTACAGAACAAAAAGGAAGGTTCAAAGTAAAAACTAGGAGAGGCTGTCTGCCAAAGAAATGGCATGCCCCGCCCCCCCTGCAAAAAAACGCATATCAAAGATCTGTAAATCAACGGGTGAAAATGGTCAATCGAAATGGTTCTTGGGTGAAATAGTCATTTAACGTGGTTATTGATTCATAAATGTAAGGGCCCCTACACAAAACTGCCTGAAAAGGTCAATGTAGCACTGAATTAAGTTAGGAGCGTCTTTGATACACTTCACTGTGTGCGCTTGGGAATGGGCAATTGGCAATTGCTCTGTTTGTTCCTCTTTTTTTCTTTTTTAATAGCTATTTGAACTAGGAATCTTTGTCTAGTGGTGGCTCATACTCAATTCTCTCTCTTTTTCTAATTCTTTGTGTGTCAATGGAAGGTGGACTTCCCATGCTTAACTGTCTCTTGCAGCAGACACTGAGAAGCCTATGTTCAACTTCTGATTCCTCTAATTCCTCAAAGTGGGTGTATGCTGTCTTTTGGAGGATATTGCCTCGTAATTACCCACCTCCGAAGTAAGAAAACTAAAATAATGTGATTGTCAACTGCTAAATCCAAAAAAGTTCATTTGTTTTCTTATGTCCGAATTCAAGTGTACTCATTGTCTGTAGATCACATTGCTATGATGCAGGTGGGATTATGGAGGAAGTGCTCTTGATCGTTCAAAAGGCAATAAAAGAAATTGGTAATTCATAAGAACTGCAAAAAACTCAATTCCCATTTGTTCTTTGTTTGAGTTTATAAGTTGAATTTTGTTTCAGGATTCTTGTATGGGAAGATGGGTTCTGTGATTTCTATGAATGTGAGCGTGCGGGATGTGGCTACATAAAGGGAAGGTTTGGAGTTGATGTCTTCTTCAAAATGTCTCATGAGGTTTATAACTACGGAGAAGGGTGAGATTAATACTCTATTTTATATTCCAATTGTTTAAACTAAGGAAAATGAAAATACGAAGAGTATTGGAGAAGTTAAATACTCAATGTGTGTTCTGCTTTGTTGCAGATTAGTGGGGAAAATTGCAGCAGATAACAGTCACAAATGGGTTTATACAGAAGCCATAAAAGAACATGATCCTAGCTTCGTCTCCTCCTGGAATGCGTCTATTGAGCCTGTAAGAGACAAAATACAAAATTTCTGTTGAAGGAAAATGAATGCATGTGTGAAGTGTAAACCTTTTCCACCTATCCTAACTTTGTCATGATTTTGACTTGTAATTCAGCAACCAAAGGCTTGGGAAATTCAGTTTAATTCCGGCATCCAGGTTTGCTTTTCTGCATCCTTATAGAACTGTAGAAGAGACATTTGTGTAGAATTACGCAATTTGAGTAAACAAGATCATATCATACATTTCTTTTATTATGCAGACAATTGCCGTTATTTCTGTGAGAGAAGGCATTATTCAACTGGGTTCATTTGATAAGGTACTTCTTTTCACTGCATATTTTGTGCTTTTTTTTTTTTTTTTTTGGCATAAAATCGAATGATTGATATGTTCTATAGGTTTTGGAAGATCTCAGCCTGGTTATCAACGTACAGAGGAAATTCAGCTATCTACAGAGCATTCCAGGTGTCTTCGCCATACAAAGGCCATACCTACCTATCCATTTTCCATACATCATCAAACCCAATACTCAGATGAGTGAAAGCCAGGAAACGGCTTTCTTAGCTGATGAAAAGCAGCAGCTATCCGGAGCAAAAAGATTGTTCAATGAAATTCCTCAAGATTTCCCAATTAAGTCAATGAACTTTGGGTGGAACAGCCCTCAAAATGGCATTGCTGGAGCTCCTATTTGGTCAATACCTCCTCTTTTGCCTACCATGTCTTGCAGTCTTGGAGCTCTGCTATCCAAGTTACCTTCTGTGTTCCCATCCAATAACATCAATGAATCTCCTGCCACAGCCCTCATCAACAACCGCAACAGCATTAGTGCTATGTGTCAGAAAGTTAAGGTTGATAACAGTGCTGTATTAAGTGAACTCCAAGTTGCTGATAGAAAAGTAGAGTCCTCATGTCAAATAGATGGTCAAGAACGGAAGCCGGTATATATAAACACTCATTTAGAGGTGAAGGAGATGGTGGAATTAGGATTTGAATCTCTGAGGGAGGGAGAAAGTGCTCTAAACATAAATTAATCAGGATAAGCATGCCAATTTGTATTATTTATGGTCATGAAGAGAAGGATTGGCTACTTCCAGGCATAATCCTTTTCTTCTGCACCATTGTGCTTTTCTTAATGTAATCTTAGAATTATGTAACATGTTCTTTTTCTTTTGTTTTATATTGAAATAAACTTCAACATCTGCAATAAAACTTAAGGGACAACTGAATGCATTTGGATTAGCCTGGTAATCATTTTGGGTACGAACCATGTGCAATAGCGGGGAGATAATAAAGATGATAACGATTTTAAACATGAATAGGAGTTGATTCATGTGACACTGTCTATGTAACACAGCAAGGCTGTGGTATGAAATGAAACAACATTTGTACTTGAAACTATTATTAAAACCGTACTTATTGAGGCAGCTTTCATAATCAAGATTCATTTTATAGTTAAGACAAAGGGTTCCGGTCATTAAGTGGACTCCAATGGTCTCTGTCCATCCCTTGGGGTACTAGACTCCTCCATAATACAATTAATGGTCCCCAGAAACCCATATGACAGAAAGATAATTAAAAATCAAATTGTTGAATGCGACATTTGGTTTCCAGCCTCCGACAAATTGCATGGTCCCAACCTCCAACTTTTAGATTTTTAATTTTTCTAAGAAAACGAGTTGTGATTGTATTATGAGACATTCAAGTGACCCCATTTGCTTAGATAAGGTCATATTATTGTAACCCCCTCTAGACTCAAATAAAATCAATTAATTCAGAGGATTATTGATCATTGATTTCTTCCTTCTTCTCAGCTTGTAATATCATCAGATCAGTAGTAGTCAATAACTCCTGCATACAATTGGCATGTACTAAAAACTTTCCGGGCAATTTTATGATGCTTAGATGCATGTTTTACTTCAAGTAGCTGACTGCTTTTAAATCGATGGATTACAGATTTTTAGACGGAGATTTTAATGAATGTATTTGGTACTACTTGGACTCTTCTGCTGGCAATTTGCAAATGTCAAAACCTATCCATTTTTGTGATGAAACAAAGAAGTAAAAGAAAGCTATTGTTACCTCTGTATAAAAACCAACTAGATCAATAAAAAAGAAAAGACAACCTCTGTATGGAAGCTCTTTTATTGGCCACTATCAAAATTTAAATACTTCAAAAGGGATAATATCTTTCCAATATTATAATCAACAAAGTTTTTCGATTCGAAATTCAAGAATATTTCCACAATAATAATGTTATCAAATCAACAATATTCAATATTACATATAAGAGGTTTTTCTTTGAAAAATAATAAGGAATCGGGGACAGCCCCTGTACCAGAGTAAACTGGGATAAAGACGGGAACTACAACATCCAGGCATTGGATTGATAAACCAATTAATTAAAACAACTACTAGACGAAGGCATGATTTACAGAGATTCAGAGAATATTTGGAAATTGACAACACGAAGCCAGTAAATGTGATGCACCTATCATGCACTAAATCCTGTCATCCTCTGTTTAAATCCAGATTTTTTTTCTTGAGCAGTGCCTCGTCAGATCTTTCTGATAAGCACAACTTTTAATTGTTATATAATTATGACTATTGACTTTTGGTATAATTGGTATATTCTTAACAAGAAAATTAGAAAGTGCCAAGCATCATTAATTCACAACAAACGATGCCTTTATGATATAAGTAAGAACTAGCCAAAAGATTATTGTTAAAAGAACATTCAAATCAAATTCTGGGGTTTATTTATACTTCATCTCCCTTCTGATAGGACTGTGTACTAAGACCCAACTCTGTTGGAATTTCAATATTTTATGTGGGTCGAGGCACTAATATCTTCCAAAGTTGAATTAAAATGTGACAGAAAATTATATGACTTTTCATGTATCTTGATCCAATATTTGGAGTTAACAGGACAATTAATGTCACAAAGTTTAAATTGATATAGCCTAACCCAATAACATATGCCCCGGCAGAGACAATTTGACATAAATTAAATCAAATGAGATAATTAGCGGGGCTAAATAGATTTTACTTTCAATTAAAAAAAAGCACTCTGATCTAAAACAACCTGACGAGTGGCCAAAATAAGATGTGGGAGCTTAGCCAACTTAGGCAGAGGCGTAGAGCATTGGAAACACTTCCGTTGTTACTGTTAACAGGGCTTCGAATGGATTGCCACGGCCTAAATAACTTTAATTAGTGGACTACCATCGAGCACCCAATAAGAATTTAGACCCCCCTAGAAAGAATCTAAGCAAATTTGGCATCAATGCTAGGAGATATTTTTCTTAATAGAAGCAACTAATCAATGAGGGATCGAGATATCAAGAAATCCATGGAGAACATTTAGATAAGGTATTATAAAGCTACTGCCGAATGAATTACCGAATTTACAGAGGTACTGCAAATTGACAAATGACAACAATATAACCGTTTGTTGTTCAGTGCAATTCAGATAAGTTATGTACACAATCAGCATTCATAATAATCTTTTATAGACCTTCCACTTCTGCTTCTGGCAGACAAATTATAGTTGAAATGACTGTATGCAGTATGATAAACCAAGAAGCCAAATTCAAGCACTGATCTTGATTGTTCGGCCACCCTTCTGTCATCAACTGCTTAACAGTATAGTCTCTGCTTAAGCACTGTCCTTTTTGCCTTCACTTCCATGAGCCCAATTAGGTACGGCAGGAGTACGCCTCATTGCCTTCACTCCCAGTGGGTTGTTCTTGCTCTGTTGCAGAAAGATTTAATAAGTATTATATAGGAGGAAAATGAATATTTCTAGGGGGGTATAAGAGAGACAGATCTAAGTTACTCAACAATGGTTGAAAATGTAAGAAGAGAAATAAAAATATGTCAATGCTCAACACAGAGAATAACTAAGAACACAACATAGTAAGGTTTAGTTGGTCTTACCGTCAAGCAAGTCCCTGAACGAACGTTACAGACAGGATAGTCATGAGGGCAGCAGCTGTAATGGTCATCACAGCAAGTGGCGGACTCAAGTGGGCAGCATCCCCATGCAAAGCAATAGTTCCCGTATTCATAGACACAGCAGCAGGTGTTGCTCTCAGGGCAGCTGTAATAACTGTCACAAACAGTTGGTGGTTTAATGGGAGATGGAGGAGATGGTCCAGGGTTTGGGGGATTTTGGCCTGTCTTGATTGGATAAGAGGCCTCAACGGCAATTCCACATTTCCCTGTGGCAGTGCCAAGCAAGTTACGCTCCATCTTGATGTAGCCTGATTCTCCCCAGCTTTTGCCCCATGAATTTTTCACAAGCCAGTAATCAACTCCATTATCTGTGCCATATCCAACGGCAGTAACACCATGGTCAAGCGCCGTCCCACATCTTCCACTAAATACACCCTGCCAGTTTGAGACAAAAAAAATACTTAATAATTCATACAATACAAACAAATCAGAGATAACATAGTTCAACGTCTAGCATAATCTTCGTGTTTCGAAGCCATCAAACTCTGCACATTCTCACAATATTCGCTCTCACCAGAGCTTGTCAGAGTTATTTATTTCTAACAAATTTAAAACTATCAATATCCTATATCTTTCTGCCAAGAAAAATAAAAGATAATTTATTACAAAGAGATAAAATTTACCGAATCATAGAACTGGAATTCCCGGCCACCTGCTTCAATGGCAACACTCACTGGTTGATTTGCAACTGCCTTTTGCAAAGCTTTCTCATTATTTTCAGGAACATCTTCGTAATTATCAATCGTAACAACCTTGGCATTTTTCTGCATAAAGCAAAAAATACAGGGTGAGAAGTAGTCTCTAATTAGTATTTCCTTCTTGAAAGCAAAACAATTTACTTACCCGGTATGTGTCACATCTGCCATCAACAGCCATGTAGGGATAATCCTCTTCGGTGTCAATACCACCATTGTTAATTATGAACTCAAAGGCGTAGTCCATCAGACCACCATTACATCCTTCATTATATGATGTATCACAGTCCACTAACTCCTGCTCAGATAGAGAGATAAGGTCACCTGTAACTATCTTGTTTATACCTTCCACGGCTGCAATTGTTGAAAATGCCCAGCAACTCCCTGCATTCCAAGCAGATATAATCAATATTCTCTTCTAGTCAACTGCTGATCTTATATACGTAATCTAATATTTTATCAACAACTAATAATTAAAAATTAATCATTAAGCTTCAATATAGAACAATACTTGTACTTAACTTTACCCAGAATTTTTATTTTGTAGGAAATCAGAAAATAAATAATTTTAAAATAGGCGGAGATTCATATAAGTATTGTTTGGATATCCATTAGTGATTGTATATTTTAATTTTGTATTTGATAGTAAATCTATAAGACCATTCAATATCAGTAATCAAATAAAACAATTGGAATATGCATAGTTTGTTGGCATGATCCAGGTGCAAGTGAAAGGACCGGCCACGTACAGCTGTGAAAGGCTGAAAGCTGCCAAGTCCTGTAGGCCCTCTCTCTACGCCGAAAGTGTATGGATATGGCCTGTATACAATAAATACTTACTGTAGGTTCTGTGAATATGAACCAGATTGCAGCTATGTGCAATCGACTACCAATCCTACAAGCTTTAACTTTCCCCTTTAAACCTAACCAGATTCTTCTCCATGATGTTTATTTTGTCAGATAAAATATTTTTTTTTTTCAAGATAGATCCTCCTTTATCACCAATTAAAAAAAAAAAAAATGGACAAAAAGCTCAAATCTCGATTAATCCAACTCTATCGGAAAAAAAGCCAGAAATCCGTGACAATTGATAGGGACAAAGTTGTCTTAGCAACAGTGGAAGTTCAGGTTGTCTATTGGCACTTTCCCTACTGTGTTCCACTCTTTAAACATAATATATTCTCCCATAATCAAACTTAGATTCAATTTCTGGACAATAATAATATACAGGAATAATTAAGAGTTAAGAGGACATAAAAGTCAACTTAATTTGATACTTCCTTTGCTTAGCCGATGACAGATTTCAAAACATGTCTGAATTCCAAAATTACCCTTTATCATCTTTCTCGTTAAAACTTAAATCAAAATAATATACGATAATCAATTTAAACTGAAAACGATTTTAAACATTTGATGATAATTATAATAACTCACCACAGCTTCCTTGATCTTTAACCTCAACGACGGCGCCCTTCTTCCTCCAATCAACGGAATCCGGCAACTCCTCGCCGACACGTGGCTGATAACGATCACTAACCTTTGACTTCAAGGAGTTCTTCCTAAAGCCAGTCCTTGCTCCCAGGTACTTGGACCGATACTCCTCGTTTGTCAAGTCAGCAAACCGGTTCAACCCAACCTTGTAGGTCCGGTTCTCCGAATTATGTTCATCAATAAACCTCAAATTATCCTTAAAAATCTCAAACCTCTTTTCTTTTTCACCCAAACCGTTGTATGCTTTCCCATGCTTTACAAGCCATGTTTCGTATATAGCCATAACTTCATCATCGGTCCTCCAGCTAGATTTTGAGGCATGGCTTTGGTCGTAGGAGATGATCGACATGTCTAAGGCCGATGATAAAGTAAATAAAAATAACAAGAAGGTGGCCATAGTTATCGACGATCTATGCAAACCCATCTTGGTTATTTGCAGTCCACAGTAGTGTTTTGGGAGTTGTTTTGAGAGCTGTTGATGGAAAGGAGGTGGAGAATAGTTTTTATAATGGAAAATGAGTGAATAAAATTAATGAGAGCAGACAAAGATAGAAATAAAATTTAATTAAAATGGATTTTTATCAATCAATGAAGAATTAAATTAGAGATATCAAATAAGTCTTGGACATGTGGATGAGACATGATAGGCTGGAGCAAAGAGTAGTGGAACGGTTGTAAATAAATCGAGGGTGGTCCTCACGCGCGGCTTCGTTCAGTAAAAACGTTTCTCTTTCTAGAAGGCGATTGTCTTTGCTAGGTGCAAGGTAGCTTAAATGAATGAAAGACAGTGACTGTGACTGGCGTTTTTGTCTTTGAAGTAGGACCCACAAGCACCCGAAGTTGGAAGAGAAATTGTTTTTTGCATCAATTATTTCGTCCCCTTTCGCTGTCCATATTGCTCACCACCTACCATACGACTTTTTCTTTTTTATATTTTTAAAAAAATTTGAATTAAAATGTGCCTATCCTCATACAAGATTTTATTTTATTTTCATTTACTTATTACACTTAAATACGTTCTCACTCTTGACCAAATGAATCATATATGCTGTGACCACGCTATATAAATTCAAACAACAAAACTTTTGTTATACTGTTAAACAAATGATCTAAAATTAAATTGGTTGATGGTGATACCAGGATCAACAAGCCAATCACAATAAAGGAGATGGATGACACCAAAGATATTTATGTAATTTACCAATGAATGAGTTCTCTTAATACCTTTAGCAATTGCATTTTTCTATTTTTCTTTTTCTTTTTCATTTCAATCAGTAATTGTAACTAACATGATTGACATTATTTACTTAATAATAATTGAGTTTCTTATTTGAAGATTCTATATTCAAGGAGCACTATAAAAGAAATAACAATGATGACAAGAACTCATTTGAATAAGAGGCGCAAATGCAATGGGCCATAACCCATAAGATGGAATCTTTAATTATTACAATTGATGAGTTCAACGACAAAAAGCGTGATGTAATTTCAGACTCATATATGATAACAACAATTAGATGGTGATAACAACGTTCCGTTCCATTAAATAACAATCATACAAGTCTTAGTAGGAAGATAAGATATTTTAGGTGTAATTGCTTGGGATTTCTTTTCTTCATCAGTTGTTGAACGGCAGTGCTTATCATTTTAGACGAGTTTTATCGTGTAAGAAGACATGAGAAAGGAATAGGATATATCTTTGATAAATAAAATAGTATATCCTTTTAGGCATCTAATTACCCGACACATTTACAATTTTATGATAATTCATTTTTGCATGATTTTCAACTATTTTGGTTTGCAATAGGCTTGCATAAGTTATCTAGATAAGTTGCAATTGCACCATGATCCATGTATATAAGATAAAAGGATTATTTCTGTTATCCCATATATTGTTTATGATATGATATCTCCATCTCCAATCATTTATGTACAGGAAATATAACATGTGATTTGCTTTACTCTTCAAAAAATAGTGGCCCAATACGTAACCTGAACCGTCTTGTGAATTTATATTTTGTGTGGTGTCCAATTAACTCCAAAACATGAATCTCTTATCTCTTCAATTGGGTGTTGGGGCTCTTTGCTCCCATGTGATGGTGAAACAAGCACCATTCTTCATGGAATATTAAGGATCCAAAAGCTTGTGCATACGTGGATTTGTTCCTTTCTTCTTTCCATTCTCATCTTTTCTATTTGCTTATGCACTTCTAAAAGAAGAGCCTCGAGATTCTGAATTGTTTTCTTCTGAGTTGGGTAGTGTGGGAAAGTGAAAATAGGGACCATCTTTTCACAACTTGTTACTTAAATTACTTTCTTTGTTGTTGCTTTGGGTCCCACCTTTTGTTCTATATTGGTGGCACTATGACCCACTTGTGATTGACAGTTTAAGCGCCCATCAACCATTCATACTTGATCATCAACTGGGCTGCCGACTAAACGACATTAAAGGCTAATATTAATGGCACGTAATACGTATCTTGGGGAGCTGGTATAATCTATCAATACAACGCGAACATGCATACGAATGACAGAGATTGGATCTTAATTAGAATCCATACCTGTTATCAATTTGCTGAAGAAGAGATCTCCCCCACGTCTTTAAAGCTGGTATATGATGTTGATTGAATCCTCACCCAATATCTCAACATCTGTTTACCAATTCAGATCTCAAATGTCAGTTAAAAATCAAGAAAGTCAAACTGGAATTCTTTTCTTCAATACGAAGATGGTATCTTGTACAAAAAGATTAATTGAATCTTGCCTGTTTAATTCTAATATATATTCTGAGACTTTACCTCTCTCCCTAAGCCAGCTAAAAGTCTAAAACTTTTAATTACTCCTTTTTTAGATAATAATTTATTATAAAATTAATCGTCATAAATGGGACATTAGTATTACGTGTGACCGGCCAGGCGGCTCAGGCCTACCGGGTACTCATAACCTACCCTCTTTCTTGAACTGATAAATCTGCTTGAAATGTGAGATTCTGTATGAATATGATGGAAATAAATGCTCTACTCTTTTGAACGCTAAATTTAATCATCCTCTCTGGCCATCCTAATAATGTCTGGGAGACTCAAGCCCACGTTAGATTCCTTTACTCTTTTACAGGGTATTCAATGCTGGCAACAATCATTTGTAGGCGGCTTTTCTATTGCTCTTGACTGAATAATTTCATCAGCTTAAATTTGTAAATGAGGCAAAAAATACTGGGCCTAATATAGTCAATTATCCAAGAGCCCAGGACTAAAGAAGATCTCACATAATCGAATTAAGTCTTGGGCTCTCTGAGAACAGTGATTTTGGGTCAGGCTCAGCCAAAATACATAACAAGCCCACTGGTTTAGTTTACAGTGTTTACATGATTGTGGAAGAATGAACGTGAGCCCGTCCTTGTAAGTATTTTTATTTGAAACAAAACACTTCCTCCGGAATATATAAGCTCGTAATTTACAAGTTTTTCCAGTTCCCGCACCACACCACCTAATTACACTCATACAACTATCAGAAAATGAGGACTAAGTAACTCACTAAAATCAGTATGAACTTTTTACGATTCTATCTGAAACACAAACAAATAATTAATATTACTGTCACATATTAAACGTCGGAAGTAAATACATTTTGATCCTGGGCTCAAAAATTTCCAAAGTAAAACTTAGTTGTGTAAGCTCGAAAAGATTAAAAATGGATGGAACCATTCATCGCAAAAGCAAGATGTCAGATGTCACTAAGCATTGAATTTATAAAATTAAAATAATTGTCACCACATTGTAACCAAATATACCATATATCTCAGTACGAACCTCTTCTGCTCCCATATCTCTCTACATTGTATTGAAGCATGAATTGACGAAATAAGGAGGTATGTGAGAAGAAAGAAAATAAGCAAAAAGTATTCTAACTTCGATGTCAACCTAGTTTAATGAGGGGAACAGAATCAGGCATCAGGGAGGAATTATGCAGTTTACTAATTGTGATTAATGTTAAGACTTAAACATATGTATATGATATATTAATTACTTAGTTTTTCATGTTTTGAAGATTTAGTTGTGATCATGGACTCGGATGTCACAATTTCAAAATTGGTTCTTCGTTGAATATGTTAATAGAAGTAATTTAGAGAGGCTTCTGATGAATTTGATCCTTGGTAACCAGTAAGGAACCAGAGAGATCTAAAGAGTGGTAACAAGATAATATGGCTTTTATAAGAAGCACTGTCAAAACTGGAGTGATGTAAAAAATCTGTGAAAATTGAAGACTCGTAAGAGCAAGGGTCCAGAGCAAAATAAAGATATACATGCGTTAGTCATGAAAACTGTGTTTCTAATGTGATGATTTTCTGATTCAAATTTCTGCTATTGAAAAGAACATGATAAATGACCCAAAACCAAATGAAGATTGTTTTTTGTCCTTGCTAATAATTTTAATAAAAATAATATGAAATATGGGCGCTGTGAATAGAGTTAATTTGGCTGTAAATAATCACAACTAACTCACGGCTATAAGCAATCAAAAGCCTACAGGAATTGAGCAATCTTTTGAAGTAACTTAACATTCAACCCTCCCTAAACCCCCAACCTCTTTTTGAATAAAGAAGCACAAATAGTCGCATTATAGAACAAAAATGTACTTATATTATGTGACTCGTTTTATCAATGTATAGTTTGAAACTTATAAAGCTTAAACTACACTACACACGTCAACTCTCCATAAACGAGTATAAACTTGTCTTGGGTAGTAAGTAAGAACCAAGTTCACACTACTAGTCCACAGGTAAAAAGTTATTGTTTAATATACAAGTCATAAATTGTCAAAAGCAATCAAAGAAATGATGACAACAAAGTCAACTACATAATATCAAAAGTCCAAACCATGGAAATAACTTATATTTTCAAATTTCAATTTGTCACAACTTGACAAGCAACGCGTTAGGTAGAAAACCTGTGGAAAACATTTGACGTGCGAGCAGGATCGGACACTTCACCACGAAACTCATTCTTTTGTTTTGAATATCATATTAGACTTACGTTCCCGTCAAACCTATAAATTGGTCACGAGTTTCATTTCATCCATGTGAAAATGCTTTTTTTATTTTATTTAGACTTTGATTGCTTCCGAGTAATAGGACGAGCATTGAATTTGAATACAATACTCTCTGAATATCCTTTGGACTTTCTTTGAAGTTTCTTGCAAACAGATCTGTCTTGCAAAAAGAATTTAGCCACCAAATCCTTGTGTTGCTTGGATTAGTATAACTTTGTTTACAAGCCTTACTCAATAGTGTTCTAAATTTATTTTACATGGGAAAGTTATGGGATTTCAGCAGTCGGTGTCTTTTGAGTTGAGCCAAGAAGAAAGCGAAAGATTATTAAAAAGGGAAAAAATGTGAATAGTCAACAAAAGAAGGAAGCAAATAGATAAAGATAAAGAAAAACGTTCACAACCAAGACATTTGCTGACCTGGTTTTGAGGCTAACCCTAGATCCATGCATGTTGTATAAGTGTTCTAGTTGAACTTCTCCATCTAATTACACTACCTACCTACCATAATTAATATATTCTTTTTAAAGGAAAATAAAAACAAAAACACCAGAAATCAAGAGATTCTAATTTAAAATTTTTTATTTTTTTCTAAATCAGCCGACAAAATGCATCAGAGATAATTTAGCCTTGATTTTTGGAATTCAAGTTTTCCATGTCAAAATAATTCCATTCTTAGTCCAAAGTAATTCAATGAAATGTAATTAGGGTCAGTAGAATAATTCAATGCTATATCTCAAAAAGACCGGCTTTCAAAATTTGAATAGATGAATCCATTATCAATCCCTCTAAATAGAAACAGAAGCAAAATCTAAATAGTTCAAAATTACCATTAGGTTCTCGGTTCTACATTCATAAAACCTACTGTTGACATTACTGAATATTTTTTATTCATTGTGGTTAAGACTATATTAAGGATTTCTGTATTTACCAGATCATCGTCAACTAATATGTTAAACATAATCATCTATTAAAATCCAATCTAATGCAGAACGTAACAAAAAATAGGGGTTTGGCGTGTAAGCAAACTATGTCTCATAGTTTCGATAAGAAAACAAGAGTTGATGATGTCAACAAAAGCAATAATAAATTGTTGGTCAAATATTACTGTAAGCATCTTTTAGACTTTTAGCCGCTCGAAGTTTTTGTTCATTATTATTATTATTATTTTAATGTGGAGATGTTGGAGGTCTAAATTACCACGTCACCTTCTGCATTCTCACTTTACCTTCTTAAAATAATTTTGAAATGTTGTTAAAATGTTTGAAAAATAATCCAAATATATAAACGTAGAAATATATAAGTGAAATTCCTATAAACAAAGAAAGAAGAATAGGAACGTTTAATTATTCCTCAATAGAAATAAAAATAAGTGTGTTGATAACTTGATATAGAAATCTGCACCAACTAGAGAATTCCGATTAACCTTGTTAGAACCAGAATGGATGTGCGCGTAATTTAATGAAAATCAATAATTGAATAATTAAAGAGAAAATACAAGTAATGACAATAGACAATTTTTAAAGTGGTTCGGCAGGTTTGAATTTTGACCTGCGTCCACTGTTTCTATTATTGAATGAGAATTATAAATAATAAATATTTTCCTAAAATAATTGCCCTGCCTCCCCAGAAAACAAGTTGTGATTAGTTTATATAGCACCTAATTACATGATAGAGTTGAGGTAAGATTTAAATACATAGAATTAGGAAGTTGCATGATCTTCGGCTACCTTAGTTGGAATCTAAGTCAATTTGAATATCCTCCTTCCAAATTGAGCCAATCTAAATATTTTCTCTCCTAATGGAGAATTATACTCTCCGAATTTTCTGCACAACAATAGCCCCCTAGTTTTTGGAGTGCGTAATCGCGCTTAAAAAACTCATGTCTTTGATCTGGATGGCTATCGCACTATAGGCTGCAGTCTCGAACTAAAAAGTTTGAATTATGCATAGCACGATCTGAGAGATCTTGAACACGTGATCCCAAGTGAATGAGCGAGCTTACGAGCTCAATCAGAGAGCATGAAGCGCTTGATCTAAGAACATAAAGGGTTCGATAATAGAGCATGAAGTGCTCGATTTGAGAACATAAAGAGCTCAATTAGAGAGCATAAATAGCTCGATCTAATAGCGCAAAGAGTTTGATCGGAAAGCACGGAAGCTTGATCTTAGAGCACAGCTCCATCGGAAAACACGAAGAGCTTGATTTGAAAGCACAGCTCGATCGGAAAGCATGGAGAGCTTGATCTGAGAGCACAGCTTGATCGGAAAGCATGAAGAGCTTGCATAACTCTATCGAAAAAGCATGGAGAGCTTGTTTTAAGAGCACAGCTCGATCTGAGAGCATGAAGAGTTTGATCTTAGAGCACAGCTCGATCGGAAAGCATGGAGAGCTTGATCTGAGAGAACAGCTCGATCGAAAAGCATAGAGAACTTGATCTGAGAGCATAGCTCGATCGAAATGAGAGCATGGCTCGATCAGAAAATATGGAGAACTTGATATGAGAGTATAACTCGCTCAGAAAGCATGGAAAGCTTGATCTAAGGGCATAGCTTGATCAGAAAGCATAGAGAGCTTGATCTGAGAGCATAGCTCGATCAGAAAGCATGAAGAACTTCATATGAGAGCATAGCTCGATTAGAAAGTATGGAGAACTTCATATGAGCGCATAGCTTGATCAGAAAGTATTGAGAGTTTGATCTGAGAGCATAGCTCAATCAGAACGCATGGAGATCTGGGTGCGCAATCTAAAGCTGAGGATTTGGGTGCGCGATCTGAGAGATCTGACTGCGTGATCTAAGATAAACTTCAATATCTTGACAATAATTTGAGTTGTAGACCTCAAAGTTGGATGATTCTTGAACCGTTGGAAAGCTTACTCGAATATCTACAAGTTTTATGTTTGCCACTCTGCCATACTCATAGGCTGCAGTCTGATAATAAAGTATTGAGAGTTTGATCTGAGAGCATAGCTTGATCAGAAAGTATTGAAGTTTGATCTGAGAGCATAGCTCAATCAGAAAGCATGGAGATCTGGGTGTGCGATCTGAGAGATCTGACCGCGCGATCTAAGATAGACTTCAATATCTTGACAATAACTTGAGTTGCAGACCTCAGAGTTGGATGATTCTTGAACCGTTGGAAAGCTTACTCGAATATCTACAAGTCTTATGTTTACCACTCTACCAGACTCATACTTTATAATGCTCAATACTCTCCATCTATCAGTAGCTTTGATTCCAAAGTTTAATTTGGTGACATGGATTGTAGCTATGGCTGATTTTTTTGCGATTGGAAGATGGAAAAAAAAAAAAAAAACTGTCAGAAAATAGAGAGAGCTCAAAGTGTTTAAATCTTCTTTCTAGCGCCAAAATGTTGATACAAAAATCTGCACTAACCAGAGAATTCCGGTTGACCCTGCCGGAAGCGGAATGGATGTGTGCGTGATTTAATGAAAATCAACAATTGAATAATTAAAGAGAAAATACAAATAATAATAAGAGGTAATTTTTAAACTGGTTTGACAAGTTTAAATCTTGAGCCTACGTCTACTATTTCTCTTATTGAATGAGAATTACAAATGATAAATCTTTTCCTAAAATAATTGTCTTGTCTCTCCAAAAAATAAGTTGTGATGAGTTTATATAGCACCCATTTACATGATAGAGTTAATATAAGATTCAAATACGTAGAATTAGTAAGTTGCATGATCTTCGACTACCTTAATGGGAATCTAAACCAATTTGAATATATTCCTTTTAAATTGAGTCAATCTAAATATATTTTATAAAATTATCTTCTTGAGATTTTCTGCACAATAAAATGAATTTAATAAAAGAATAATTTAATTAATTTAATTTTGATAACGTGACCAATTATATGACAATGTCATATCAATTGTCACGTTATTTTGTATGAAAGTGTTTTTATAACCGTAAAATTGTTATTATTTAATATACAGGTAGATGTCCAGTTGTTGGCATCTTTTTCAAGGTCCAATTGGAAGCATCCAGCAAGAGGTCTACGCATAGTGTGGACTACTAAAGCCGGATTCAGCGTATTCATTAAAAATATTTTATCATAAAAACTAAAAAGTGATATCAACGGTAGGAAATTGATCAAAGGTTTAGTGGTGTGGGGTCAATACAAAATAAAGAAAAGAAAAGAATCCCATGTGACTTGTGGGGTGAGAGTTTGACGGAGCTTCCGGTGTCCGGTAAAGGAGGAACTCCTGGACCCATAACCCCACCTCTTCACTCAATGACTTTTGCATTAAAAGCTGTTAAAGGTCAACTCTACCTCACTGTCCCCAACTAACCTCTGTATTTCTCTCTCCCCATTTTACCCAGTCATTAACGCAACGGCCTTTTGACCTTTATCTCTCATAATTTTACACGCTCTCCAACCGGTTTATCCCGTTTACTTTACCCCACATCAAAGATGTAGTCAACATCTTGACAAAATAGACCACGTGGATGGTTATTACTGGCAAATAAGTTTGACGGCAGGATGTTCACAAGCGACAGGTCAGTCATTTTGATGCCTTGCGAATTGCTAGAGGGCATCAGTTTGACTCGAATCCAATAAGACCCCCTCTTTTTCTCATCATCTTTAGCGTTCTTTCTTTTACTTTTTATTTTTTTAATTTTTTAATTTCTCTTCTTTTGCTTTCTTTCATCATCATTTTTTCTTCTCCTTGTAAAACAAGCCCTGCCTGTAACTATAAAGATTCAAATATACCCTTTTGCTATTTTCAGTGCATGGTGTTAAAAGAAATGGCTGTGGAGCTTATGATGGGTTATGGTTGCGCTGATAGTTTTGCAGCATCAACCCGAATGGAAGAGAGTGCTGTACGGGAAGCTGCATCTGCTGGTATGCAGAGCATTGGTGAGTTCATCAGATTATTGTCTCGAAATCAAGTCCCCGAACAACATTTTCCAGAAGCCTCCTCTTCTTCAAGTCTTGAACCTGACAAAGAAATCAAGGTTGCTGCCGAAGTGGCTGTTAACAATTTTAAGAGAGTTATTTCTTTACTGGATCGACCAAGGACTGGCCACGCTAGATTCAGAAGAGCACCTTTGAGTCCTCCACCTGTTATTCCTCAGAAAGAACAAAAACAAGTTCCAGAACCGGGGCCGTCTGTTCTATCTATTAATCATCAATCAAACGAACAAGGTTCTGCTTTTAAGGTCTATTGTCCTACACCAATTCATCGTTTGCCTCCTTTACCTCATAATCACCACCCACATCAGATTCATAAGACTCCTTCTGTGGCGGTGACCAAGACTGTGTATACAGAGAGAAGTGATGCGCCAACTACTATCAATTTTTCACCTTCAACTTCTTTCATTTCCTCGCTTACTGGGGATACTGATAGCATACAGCCTTCTTTTTCCTCTGGATTTCAATTCACTACTCCTTCACATGTTTCATCAGTTGGTAAGCCGCCTTTATCTTCGTCTTCACTTAAAAGGAAGTGCAATTCCATGGATGATGCTGCTCTAAAGTGTGGTTCATCTTCTGGCCGCTGCCATTGCTCCAAGAAAAGGTCAGTCATCTTAATCCTTTATTTGTTTCATTGTGTTCTTTTTTTTCTCAATAAATGTTGATTCATCTGATTTGATGTTATGTTTTATATGAATTAATTAAGCAGGAAATCAAGGGTTAAGAGAGTTGTTAGAGTCCCTGCGATTAGCTCCAAGATGGCTGATATTCCACCTGATGATTTCTCTTGGAGAAAGTATGGCCAGAAACCCATCAAAGGTTCCCCTCATCCAAGGTATGTGTGTGTTTTGAACCGTTTGATCACGTCCTCTGCTTCCTTGCTCTTATCGTTTTTTTAGATATAATCGTTTTTTACTAGAACTCCCATACAACGAATGATGCCATTCAGCATTAATTGTTTTTGTCCAGAGTCATTCGCAGTTGTCATGGTCCTAGGCCCTTTGTGGGGCAGATGAATTTTGACTTTTTTTCTGCAAGCTGAGTTAACTCAATTTTTTTTGTTAAAGTGAGTCAATAACTCAGTCCTGAGTTTAATTGTTCGTTTGTTCATACGATTTCAGGGGATATTACAAATGTAGTAGTGTTAGAGGATGCCCAGCACGTAAACATGTAGAACGCGCACTTGACGATCCAATGATGCTGATTGTGACATACGAAGGTGATCACAATCACTCTGTGGCAATACATGATGCGCCTGCTGCTATGGTGTTGGAATCGTCTTAGTCAACTCATCAAAGGGCCAAGATGAGAAATTTGAAAATTGAATCACAACCCCTCCAAAAGTGGGAAATTGGAGTAGATGAAGCAATCACTACCGTGCTCAGATAGTCAACGAAGATGCTGGGCTTTGTCTTCAAGAAAGAAAGAAGATTGATTATTAGGTTACCTAGCGCTGTTTAAAAAAACCAATATAGGATTCCTTGTTTCTGGTTTCTCTCTTTTTGTTGAAGACTTTGTTAAAAAGGAAAAAGAAATAGGAAAGCGTAGAAATTGTTTGATTTTGTGGGAGTTGAATCTTGCAAACACAAGTAGTGGGTTTTTTTCTATAATTATTTTATTTCTTAATGCTCTTATACTCAACTCTCAGATCAGATGGAATTTTGCTTTTAATATATATGGTGGTGGATCTTGCTTTAATTTATTCCAATTATTTTTATGGGAATATGGGTTGCGGTCAATAGCCACAGAGGAATGTTCATTTCTTTAATTAGGAGATGTGTCGTTGACCTTTAATCCCTATTTTTATTATGATTAAAGAGATTTTGGTGGAGGTTGGGGTGTAGTCAGGTTTCAATTAGCCTAGAGATTTGGCAATGCAAAAGAATATCGATGTGAATTGTGATTGCCTATCTGTGACGGACTGACCCACCATGAATTTGGAATAAATGGGCAAAGTCAAAAGTGGCCGGTTTGGTTTATGATAATCTGTCCCCACTTGTATCTTTTTTCTAATTTTAAATTTGTTAGAGAACCTCTAATTTTTGTCCAATCTGCCTTGTGCCACGATACCCCAAGGATTGTGATGCTCTGTTGCTGGATTCATGCGTAAGAAATTTAAAGAGTTGAAAATTTTGTTTATCACTTTATCTGTTTTTTTTTTTTTTTTTTTTCTTTTTCAAAACGAACATATGCTGGAGTTTACTTTATATATTTAACGACTTTTAACGGGATGCTCTGCAAGATTGGATCTATATCGGTAGACCTTGGATGAATATGGTTGTTTCTTTCTGTTCAATTTTAGTGTAATGCTATTATAAATCACTAATCAAACGGAGCCAAGGCTTTCTTAGTTAACTAGTGGGTGGGATGCCAATAATAGCTCCACTCCTTTAAAAATTGTTTAATGAAGATAAAAAGGCTCTAAGTTAATGGGTCATGAATCCACAAGTCTAACAGTAAAGCCTAAAAAGCAAAAGCCCAAGTAAAACTAAAGAGGCCCAAGGGAAAAAATTAGTTGAAGCAGTAAATAATATTTTTGGAAAATGTTTTTCAAAAATTTATCAAACATATTTTCAAATTCAAATCTTATTGTTGTAATAACAATCCAACTCAATTTTTTTTCTAAAATATTATTCTAAATACTCTACCAAACACAACCAAAACTACCCAAACTACCCCACTACAATTGAATTATGGCAAGCAAGAGCAGTTAAAGGAAAATATGTTGAGACAATTATGATCAAATTGTTGCACAACAACTTGGATAAGACGGTTACATCATAACTGCCACATTGAGCATGCACAATAGTTAAAAACCAATAATTCTTGGATGTCAAGCACACCAATCCTAGGAGCCTTCATGCCAATGTCACGAGCCAAATCTCTCTTGCGAACACAAACACAAACACAGGTCAAAGGGGCCAGTGGAGGTGCTATTGGCATTAACCCTTTGATGCTCAAGTCAGGCATGCCATATTTAGGATCCTATATTCCTATGATCGGCCAAGTCACAGAGGGTAAAACAGTAATTCACGCTTGTCCTCCCAATTTAATCATTTCGCTTTATTACAAGCAATTAATGCCTTGTTAAAGCTTAACTAATGTTGAGTGCCCATCTATCTCTTAATATATCACATGCCAGTATTGCATGCAATGGTATTGGGCAAACACTCATCCCCATGGTTGCCAAGCCATGATTTTGGATAACCCTTTTTCGGCTAGCTTATCCAGCCAACCTAACCTCGCAGGTCTATACGCGATGTCACTTTTTAGGGTCTTAGTCATTGGACCTTTTATAGCCTTTTTTGGGCTCATTTAGGATCCTGGTTGGATCAATTACCCCTTGGGCCTTCTATTAGCCACATTTTGGGCATGCCTTCATGCCTTGTCCAATTTATCATATGGGCCGGTTAGGCCCGTTTGTGGTTTAACCATTTTGCCCTTCTATATAGAAATTAGTAACTCCCACCAACATTAATCATTGAAGAGAAGAAGGAATGTGCAAAATTATGTGAATTCTGAAATTCGATATGATTTGCAAAAATCGGATATCTAAAAATCCAGATCGAATTTGGATAGTAAAAATGGAGAAATCTGAATGTTCAGATCGTATACGGATTGGTTCTTTCAAACAATCAAATATTTGTATCCGATCTCATCATAATCTTTTTACAAATGCCCCTTAAAACTTAACATTTAACACTTAAAAGTTTTGATTAAAATCTGTAACTAAAAGTCTAAAACCTAAAACTAAAATGTAAAATCTAAAACTAAAAACTTAATCCTAAAACTAAAATTTCTCAAATCTCAATCTCACTCTCTTGTCCGAGCTTATGAAAATAGCTTTAAGATACAAGTGTTATAAGTTAATTTTAGTTTATAAGTATTTAAAATTTTAAGCAATTACGTGTTTGGTTAAAGTACTTATAAGTGACTGATAAGTAGTTGGTGTTTGGTAAAATGTGGTTTATAAGATACATTTTATTATAAATGACTAAATATGATACTACATTCAAGGGTATACTATGTTGTTTAAAATTAAATAAGGATAATGTAGTAATATACTTGTTCAAACTAGTTTATAAGCCAAAAAAAAAAAAAAAAAAAAAAGTACCTCCCCCAACTTATTTTTTTAGCTTATAGCTCAAAAAAATTATAAACAACATGTCAATTTAATTTTGAGCTTATAACCTAGTTTAACCAGCTTATTATATAGACAACACCCCCTGAGTCATCTCTCCATCTTTGATCTCTCAAACACCCACCACCCAATACCCCCTAAAAAAGTGGCAATCTCTCAATCTCACCCTTTCGTCTCTCCATCTCTAATCTCTCACACACCACCCAATACCCCTTTGAGAAAGTGAGCAATCTCCAATCTCACTCTTGAAAGAGACCACATGTTTAAACTTCATACAGCCAGCGGGCTTGCATTACATGGGAAGTTCATGTAATGAAGTGCTGGTGAGGTTCTTGCCGTAAAAAAACAGAGAGAAAGGATGGTTGTCAACGGAAACAGGGAAAGAAACAAGAGTAGAAGAGAAAAAAGCAGAAAATAAGGGAAGAAAAGAAAGGACTTGATGAATCAACACCTAATAAGAAAAAAATGAAAGTTAGTTATTGGGAAAAAAAGAATAAAATTCGATCAACTTCGGATATCCGTTTTCCGATCTAGATAATCGATATCAAAAAACTAGATATTCACATAATTCGGATCAGGATATAACCTAATCCGAAATCCGTACGGATAAAAAAAGCCCAACCGGATTGGATTCCAATTACACAACCCTAAAGATACCGATAAAGTCAAGAAGAGAAGGAGACCCAAAGTTTGTCAAGCCTTGAAGAGAAAGAAAAATTCATTCTTGCGTTAATGGAGATTGGTAAATCACAAAGAGAAAAATAGCTTGCGTAGGAGGCTTATCGAGAGAGAGGAACTTGAAACCCAAAGTGTCGTAATATTTTCTCTAACTTCTGTGAGAGAAAAGAGAAACTTGGAACAAAACATTTTTTAATTCCTACATGAACTAGAGAAATGGGATTTTGTGTCTAAGAAGTCTTGGAGGAAAAAGAGGCGCTTTGATTCTTAAACGGAAGAAACAATTTTCTTAAAGTTTAATTCAACGGGCAATGAGGAGCTATGGAGAGAGAGAAAAGGAAGGGCTTAATTAATTTCATCCAAGTTTGAATAGGAAGATTTTAATTGACTTTTCAATTTTAAGAGGAAGACTTTGAAAAACCTAAACCTGAGGAATTTTAAAAGTTACGCTTCTCGGTAGCAATGTAAAAACCTCGGCCCAAGTCGAACTCACTAGGGCCGACCTGAGTTTTTTAAACTAAGCCCGGCCCATGAAAAGGCCCGGGTTTTAATTACTCGGCAGACTTATCTGGGTCGGGCCTAAAGCTTGGGATTGGTTAATATGATTACCTTCTTTTTTTTTTTTAATATAAAATTTACTTTATAAACAGATCTGGTGTAAATTAATAAGGTCATGTCAGGCCCCTCATAATAACCTAACGAAACAAGCATTTCAGTCTAGGAGGCTGTATATTCTAGTTTCCTAACATGTTGAGAGATGATATGAATATATCATATTTATTTCAAAAACTAATACAGAGGGAACCAAATTCTAAAACCCATAATATGATACACATATAGATTTTGAGTACTCTTTTAACTCGATATATCAATATATCCATAAATTTGAGGAATAAATAACTCTTTTAACATAAGAAAACTATAAAGTAACCAATTTTAATTTAATTTTATAGTTTTCTTAAATTAAAATAGTCTGTATATATCATTAAATGATGATATATTTTGATTATTGATCAATTTCGATAAAGCGCAGAAAGTAAGATATGTGTTGAGTTAATCTGCAGAATCACTAAACCTAAAACCACACTTCCACACACACAACCACAATCAAACTGAAATAGAAATCAAGAACACAAAATTTTACTGTGGTTTACTTACCCAATATAGGATAAGTTACATGAGCTTTAGTAAACTTGGGGCTCAATGCACTGAGACCAAGTTTTTACACCAATACAAACAAGATTGACACCTAATCTGTTCACTCACTCTGCAACAATCTCTCAAGACTAAATCGAACCCTTCCTACGAGAATACTAAACCCATATTCTCAAGACCTGAAGGAACTCAACCCTCAACCAATGATACAACTAATCGCTCAATATATAAATAATACAAGAGATTCATAGCAAACCCTACAAGACAATTTTTGTTTTTTTCTAATTGAAGAACAGTGTAAAAAACCTTAACCTTCGACAGAGTAAAACTTCGTTCTATACTGTTTAAGGAGAGATGATTCGGTCGTCAAATTCAGAATGCCTTCAATGGTCAGATCACTTCTTGAGGCAGTTCCCTAACGACAACGTTGGCCTTAATGTCCCACGACGCCGTTTTGGGTTTCACATTAACATTCTCCACCTTGAACGCAAAAAACAACCACATTGCTCAATTCAAGTCTCCCTAGTGCAACTACCTCTCAAGAACCCTTCTCACTCTATAGTTTGCTGCTTCTTTTATAGACAGCAAGTTCAAATAGTGTTTGAATTTTGTGACAGTTCTACCTTTGTACCCATGTCAGTGTATTGTCCTCTGTGGATATCTTCTTCATATATGATTCCTTAAGCCCTAAATCCCTTAAAAAATGGAAACTTACATCCATATG